TATATATATATGAGATTAGTAATCACCTGAGATGGTTCATATGAGTGTCCATTTCTTGTAACTTCAGATCCACTCTTCTGCCAGGGCCATCCACGTTTTCTTTGCTTTTTCCCCCCAGGCACAGTTTCATAACGCTCACTGGACCCGCATCATGATCCGTCTCTATATTTGGAACTGTAGGAGGTGAGATTCCTAATGAGGCTCCTATCTCAGGCTGTGTTTCACTGGGTAGAGGTGCCTTCTCCATGGACTTCACCCTAAACAGCTTAAACTTCCACTGAGAATACTTAGAGTGGGGATGGTGAAGCTCAGCAGGCATGAAGGATCTGGGACCATCTGTCTCTGGGCTTTCTGCCGCCATGATGAAAATAAGATTCTAAACCCTYGAGAGAGAGAGAAAAGGAGAGGGAGAGATTCATATGATCTACTGCAAAAGCTTTAAAATAATTCCAGCTGCCTGTGGAAAAAAATGGATACAGAGAAAAGACTTGAGGGTTCAAATCTCCTATTAGGATTTGGACTTGTGTGTTCTCGGTGTTGAGCCAGTCACACAATTTAAAAGCACTGCTGGATTCCCATTGAATTTATCCATCATACATTCTGAAATCTTATTGAACAGAGGGTAATAAGCCTTGACCTAGAGGGTTGTATTATACCATAAGTGGCATTTAGATCTTGTGTAAAATGGATGAATCAAGTACAAGAAGATCAATACAACACCCAAATTTTCCTTTCTCTGGTCTTCAAACTCATCATTCCTGCAGCCTCCATGTCTCTTTTTATTTCTTTTTTTTTTGACACATTGAGTTTTCTAAGTAGAAAATCTTATCCCTGCAAGGCTGTCAGTCATTTATGTTAGTCYTTTTCTTGGCGGCTGAGAGAATTGGAGCCCTGGGAGGCTGCAACTGGCATTTAAAATGTAAGGAGAAGAAATCAGAGACATAGCTAAATTATTTCATAACACATTGACCAAACAGAAGCAGAAAAGAAAACAAGAAAACCATTATATTGAATAAGCATAAAAAAAGACAGCTTTARTCGATTCAGAAATTGTATTTCACCCGGCAAGTACACTCATGACACAGTACAGGTAAAATCAATCCTAATGCTGCTCTGATGGACCTTATTTCATCTCCTCCCATACAGGCTTGGTTCTATCACCAGTTCTGACAATAAGACAGTCAAACAATCTCAGAAACTATTATGTCCATTTTAGCCTTACCACTTCACAGCTATAGCAGGCACACCGTAGAATCTCCTGTCTATCCATCTTTTAGTGTTCTCACTACGTTTTCTCCCTCGGAGGCTGGAATCTGTCCGTCTACTTTATTTCCTAGATCTATGTCTGCTTCACGGGCTCAACTCTCATCTGAGACAAACAGCTGAGCCTGTATGCATCTGTGTCAGCTGGGCTCTTACCTTGTTTTTTTTCTTGTCTCAGCTGGCATCAAGCTCCCTAGGGAGCCCTTTCTGCATGGGAGCACAAGGGAAGCCCTGGAGCCAGTCCCCTTCACACTACATGCATTATTCTGTTTGAGAGAGGCAGTTTGGAGCTTCTGTGAACAGGAGCTGTGGTTTCCTACAATGGGYTTGCTTCGTGGTGGGTTGTATTTATACCCTTTCAAGGATGGAATCCCAACAGTCAACCCTTGCCACCTGATAGAAGCAGCTGACAAAAGGGGAGAAAAAAACAACAAGGTCAACCCCAAAGAGCAGTTGCAACAGTTGCATGTACAGAATCCAGCAGCATACCCCAAAACAAACAACTTTTTTTTTTACCACAACACACTGATCCTCTGCTCCTCAGATCCATCTGCAGGCTCACCTCATCCAGGTGGCTGCACTGAAACACTGTTCAACTTTTGAAAACGACAGATTGTGCAGAAACACAGATCATATAAGTGATCCATAAAAAAGGAAAGGTAAGTATTTATGTAAAATTGTTAAAGGCAAAATTAATAACCATAGTAAAATAAGGATTGTAGTAACAACAGTAGCTTTTTTTTTTTTGGTTGTTGCTGTCATTTTATTCTGCTCTGTAAGAGAAAAGACGCCACACAACTGAATCAGATTAGGCTGGATGCAGAGTGTTCACAACAGTTTTTGTTTTATAAATTAGATTTTTGGGCAACAGAGAAGCAAATAGTCAAAGATTATGTCTGAGTTTGTTTCAAATGTCAAATATTCTTGAGAAGACTGCAGTGTAAAGTATCTATTTCTGTTATTTAGGCCTGTCCTCGTGGCCACACATTTTATTCAACTCTTTACTAACCATTCAGAACGAGTTTGGATTATGCAGCATCATTTGATGAAGCGTCTCAGCAGGTTTGCAGAGTATTTGCCCAAGATCATTCTTGTTTCTAATTATCCAGGGGATTAATCTGGTGTATTCACCGCAGGAGCCTGTTACTGTTGCTTTGGATTTGCCATCCAAGTCATTAGATACACAGTCAGTGGGCACTGAACAACAGTTGGGTCTTTCCCAGTCTTGTCAGCCTAACAGGGGAGCAGGAAGAATACTGGCAGGCGCTGCAGCTCATATTTGGTGCATATGGCCAAGTGTGACCCCAGCCAGCAGTGGCAGTTTTTATTTGTTTGTCTGTCTTTTTGACAGCGACGTCCAGTCACAGAAAGTGTTGCTGAGCAAAGTTAGTGGTTTAAAAAGTACCGTTTTCGAGGAGTACGCAAATCCGTCACACACAGCCGAGCGTTCTGAGGAGCACAGCGTTTGATTCATTATGTATCCGAGAACAAACAAATGATGGATCGTTGCAAGATGTTCCAAACCTATTTATAGTTGAGAGTTAGATTTATGATAGCCGAGTAGCCACATGATTTCAAGGTAAACGACACACCTAGCTCCTTGGCAGACAGAGACTGAGCTGCAGATGTCTGCCTGACAAACAAGCAGTGACCCCCTGAGACCCTTATCTCTCTGCGCCTGCTAATTGACTTGTTATTGATCAACTCAAAGGCAGTCTGATTTATGAGGAAGAGGACTTGTGGAGACAGCCACCTGGCATGGAGCGGAGTGTTATGAATGTGGGAAGCAAACCCCGAGGGACCACGAGCTGCAGTTTAGGAGGACATGCAGAAGTTTGAAACGCACCACTGGACGCCTCTCACTTGAAGGGATTGTTTTTTTTTTTTTTATAGAAGATGATATGATGAATTTCAACAAAGATCAGGGAGCAGTGTGCAGCAGTAGCAGGTGTTTGCAAGGGTAGAGATGTGGGTGAGTAATGCAGGGCTTGTGTGTGTGTGTGTTTGGGGAAGAGTGTGCGAGGAGGTAGGAAGAAAAGTGGGATAAAGAGGACTGAATGTCTCTGTTGGGGAGCTGGTGCTAGTGTGTGGGTTACGACAAAGATAAGGATCAAATAAATATAAAGTAGTCCCACTAATCCATCCTTGAGAAACTTTGTAGTTGTTACTTCCAGATATGTGTGTGTGAAACAAGGAGACAGAGAACCAGTAGAACACAGGAACAAGATGGTGATGAAAGACAGAAAAGGGGGATGTAGTAGTGATTGTTTGAAAGGTAGTTGCACAGGATAACAGGCTCAGATCAGAACAGCGAACACAGAAGGACTTAGGCTGATTGCAAGCTGTGACAAGGAAAGGGGGAAAGAGATCAAGCCTTCCAGGCAGAACTATATAAGCCCAAAAAAGTCCTCAGACAGTGCAAGTCACACGGCAGCTTATGAAAATGTGTCAATAGCCGAAATAAACAATGAATGAATTCCACAGCTGCATTGGTATCTCCCTCACAAGGAATAAAATGTCAGCAATGCCTACATTTGAACAGACCAACCAAAATTGCACCATGGTATTTCAAAATGTCATGAAGAATGTGGGAATCTTTGTGATTACATTCGAGGGTAAAGAGGGCATTTCGCTTTTGTATTTCCGCCGCGTGTCTCGCAGTATATCGAGCATTTGGTATGCAAATTTTTTAATTGCGGTTTCAAAGCACGTTTGACATCTTCTTCTGCGTCTCGCAGACAATTCTGAGCTAGTCTGTCCACTTTTCCTTCCCTCATCCAGAGACATGATTTGGTAGATTAATACTCAAGGAGGTAGATTCCAGCACAGACCTATTCATCAAAGCTTCCTGCCAGAACAAACCCCTTACTCAACTACTCAAATCCCCCCTCCTCATTCATCTCCCTGTCTCTCCTACTCACTGTCTAACTTCCTTTGTCTCACTCCTGTTCTTCATCTGGTTTTGTTCATAATCAAAGTTCAGATTATTTCAATGAGATGGTTAATTAGCTTCCCTTTCTTCTGTACCAAAGGGTTAATTTTGCTTTCACTCACACAGTGACAGCCAGTTGAGTAATGCTGACTTGAAGTTGCGTGTGACCCTGTATGACTTGGCTGCGTTTTGTTGTTGGCTCATTCTAGACGGATGGAGACGTAACAGAACGCCCTGCGATGTCAGAAACTCTACAAATAGCATCTACCAGAAGSTGCTGACAGTGTTACATCAAAATATCCTACATTTCAGGCTCTAAAAATATTCATTTTGTAGACTAGTTGAGTTTAGGGACTATCTTAGTTCGTTCCACGTCTTTTGCAAGATAACTTTCCCTGCAGCACTGCTCGGTTCGTCTGTTGGTGAGTTACACAACACGAGGAACAACTTACACTATGTTATTGTTGAATGTCTTTTCCAAGAACTCCCTTTTTTTTAAAGGAGGGGATCTTTTTACAGTTCCAGGAAAGTTTACAGAAAGGTTATCAATGGGTTGAGATTGCATTATGAATTTACTGCAGCATTGTGATGCAGCACAGCCCTGTGTAAAGTTAGACCTGCATCTGAGCAGACAATGCAGATGGATGTCGATTCACTCACAATAAACTGAAGAGATTAAATCCTAAGCCTTATTCAGGGGCACTAGAGAAGAGCTGGCGAATCATGGACCAGTGTATTTAATCAAAAATAACAATGCTCTTTAATTCTGTGTTAATTAAATGTAGATTTCCCTGATTAAAGAGCAGTCATCTTGATACCAGGGGTCCTCAACTGACATAAACATCCTCTCAGKAAGTTTGCCTTGTGTATAATCATGCATTAGTTCTGTTTTTTTTCAAACTGTCTGGAGCTGGTTTACACAGACGGTCTGTCAGCTGAGGGATTGCATTTTGTAAATAAGAACTGAAGATTTCAGACTTTCATCATCCTTAAAGAAAGTCGTTCCTGGCAAATCGTTTAAACCGTCYTAAGTAGTTTGCATCTACAAACTTTTCAAAAAGATTATGCTATTTTATTTATTTGTTTTTCCCATTTAAAGGGATCTATAGCTTTCAGCACATGTAAAKGTTTTCAGTGAAATTCAGGGTTTGTATTATAAGGAGTTCAAATTTTTTTCTTCCTTTACTTTATGACATCATCACATAACATAGTCACATGTTCTCTTTCATGCTTTTATTTTGGAAAAAATCAGCTCATCCCTCAAATCTGGCTCAACTTAGAAACGTGAACTAAAATCTAACATTCTGGTTAAAAAAATGTTTAAAAATATGTCAATTTGAACGATAATAGGTGATTGATAAAACTGTGGGTTTTTAGGCTTCTTGGATAAAACAGGGCACTTCCAAAGCAAAACTGAGTACTTCATCATCTAACTAGTGTTCCCATCATAATTCTCCACAGCCACAAGGGAGAAAAGTACAAAAAAAAATGCTTCCATTAAGCTTTTATCCAAAAAGTCCATCACTGAGGAGGAATAATGGTCAGAGTATAAGCAAAGGGTGATTCCATGTTCTTGGTCTTACGACTGATGCATAGCATACATACAGTACATGATYGTAGGAAGGAAGGGGCTGGTATAAATTCTGTGGTGAGGTGGGGGCTCTCTTCAGGGAGGTTGTCATTTGGCAGCCAGTCCAGTTGGAGAGGGAGAGGACCTTTGGAGCCAGAGTCTGGATGATGGAACATTTATCAACCAGTCATTGCAATGATTCACATGATCCAGCAGGGAGCCGTTTAGTTTACACTTCCAGGCTCCAGAAAAAAAGAACTGCCAGAGGAAAGGATGATGATAGCTATAGGCTGMATGAGCACATGAACAGAAAAATATACAGTAACTGAAAAGAARAGATTAGAGTTTTGTCTCAGAGTTCAGTGTAGCCTGTGGCTTGCTCCACACTGAGCAAGTATTGAGCAACAGAGCCCAACTCAAGGGTGCATCGTATTTGTTCACTATWGTAAAACAAACATGCCTGAGGTAGAAACCAGCTAACATGTATTCCCTGTAGTTTGGCGAACTAGCATGGAATACATAAAGATCACAATAAACAGACCATCAACCTACTCAGTGGCAGCTTTGGGACCACATAGATCTGATGGTACTGATATGGGTTTGCATTTYATGGCCTGTCTGTTGAAGCAACAGACTCTGCATAAGCAAATAAACACCAAACCGAACGGGGACTACAGGAGAGAGGCGAGGGAGAATTGTGATAGCTCTCCTTTAAGAATGTTGATAAAAATCATATTCT